TCAACAAAGTTGAAGAGAACGACAATAGGGTAGAAGAGAATATTAGCAAGCTTGAAGAAGAAGTCGACGAGTTTAAAGAGGGTGTTAAAAGTAAATTTGAGGAAGAGTTTGAAGTTGTAGAATTTGTTCAAGAAGAGGAAGGTGCACGAGAAGAGAAGGTTCAAGTGGATTGCGTTCAGGTATGTGATCTAATTGTAGATAGTGTTTGCTGTGAAGTTCTTGTATCTGAGAAACTGGTGGAGCCATTGAAATTTTGGATTACGAAGCCAATTTTTCTAATGACTCGTTCAGAGGAAGATTTTGTAAGCGAGATTTTTGTGCCGGGAAGATTGGTGGAGCACTTGAAGTTGTTTGCAAAGAAATATGCATCGTTATATTTTGATCATAGCTCGAGGTCGAGCTCTTTTGAAGAAGAGGAGATTGATAAGGAACGTCAAATTGAATTCGAATGGCAAAATAACTATTTAATTCGGAGAAGAGTTATGTATGGGCATTGGTGGAAATATCGAAAGAAATTATGGAAAAATAAGGGTTTTCTACGAACTCAAATTGTATTTGAGTACGAAAAGAACTCTATCTCAAGTGAAACGGCGCAAGGAACAAAACTCATGAGCAAAGCTCATGAATCAGGTCAAATCTCCGCAATCCAACGTCGTTTAGACTCCTAAAAGTTTGTTTTTTCTATTTTAGGCAACTTTTAGAAAACTAATATCAAATCATAGAAAAATCAGATTAGGATTCCGTAAATTGGGTTGTTCCCAAAATTACGAGATCTACTAGAATCAGACTCTAACTCGTTTTTGCCATTTTTGGTAATTTTTCTTATTTTCTTAGTTTAATTAGGGTTTTCAGTTTTTTAGTATAAATAGCTGCCTTAGGACTTTATTTTGAGAAGAATTTGGAATTTTAATAAAATATTTAGAGTTTTCTCTATTTTATGGTGGATTCCTCTTTACCGTGCTTCCGTACTGCGTCAGGTTAATTGCAAATATCACCCTTGTGTAATCTTTACTTGCCAAATACCCCCTATCAAAAAACAATTCATTCATGCCCCCATGTGTTAACAAAGTCAAGACATTGAGACCCCTGGAGGCAAATCGTGTCTCTCACTCGCTGGCAGTGTTCTAAAAATCGGCTGAGGTGGCTGATTAATCGGTCTACGAGGCAGAGGCGGTCCAAAACCTTTACGATTTTAGTGTAAAGGTTAGAAAAATCGGTTTTTTGTCTGTGAGGCGGTTTGAGGCAGGTTGAGGCGGTCCGAGGCGGTCCAAGGCGGGTCAAACTTCGGTGGCAAAAATCGACCAAAAATCGGTCAAAAATTGTTTTTTTTTTAATACTTCAAAATAAAAGTTGAGATTTTAATAAAAAAAAAAAACAATATGAGTTTAGACTTTATTTTGTTTATGTTAACTGTTATTGTTAAAGAACTAATGATGTATGGCATAAATGTTGAAGAATAAATGTAAATTCGAAAATTTTGTCTTTTTATTTATATTCTATAAGGATATTTATGTATTATGATGTTATTATTATTAAACTTTTATTATGTTATTATTAGGGTATATACATGATGGAGATATAACTGTGTTTAAATATTTTTTTATATATGTTTTGAGTATTTATAAATAATATCTAGAAATATATTATATTAAATTTTAAAAATCGATTTATTTCCGATTTATCACCGATTAATCACCGCCGCACGGATTAATCGTGAGTCGGTCCCTGACCGCCTCCGATCCGATTACCGTTTTTTACAACCTTGCTCGCCAGTTGTGTGATTATTCACACTATTTTTTGGAAGGAAATGGCATAAATACCCCTTTATAAATAAAAAAAAAAAAAATCAGATTGTTTAATTGTAAATAACCTAAATTTATAGGACTAAATTATAATTTCCAAAGCTTACACCTTCCCAATTTCCTTCGGCCCACCTCCAACCATTAATAAATTCCGCACTGCCGCCGTTTGGCCCCTCCGCCGTCTCGCATCACCGCCGCCCTCGTTCAAATTTCTCTCCTCCGCAACACCTTACCTCTGACCCCTTCAACTTTGTTGCGTCTGCCATGGATGTCACCTCCATGGCAACGCACTCCCCCTTCCATCGCCGGCTACTCCGAGCGGCGACCCTACCTCACTGGAGATCTCTCCGCCGCCGATTAATAGATTCGCCGCCTTCGTCTATGTATATTTCTTTTCGTTGTTTGTTTACATCCACCATTTTCAATGTGGTTGTAGGTGGCGGATTTGGAGAAGAAGGTTGTGGTGGTGCAGGAGTAAGGACAAGAGGCGTGATTTTGTTTTTTTCTTTTGATCTTTTTTTTCATGATTATCATTAATTTAATAAAATGTAAAATACAAAATTACAACACATATAATATATTTTAATTCTTGTTTATAGATTTTTTACTTTTTGTAATTACAAAAGATATATATTTTTAATAAAATTAGATAGTTATGATATCAAATTTGGTGTAATTAAAATCAATTATCATGTACTAATTGCTGAAAAAACCCTACGACATTTTAGTTTTTTTACCTTTATTCAAAACCTAAAATTAAAAAACGTGCATCGAAAATATTAACACAGGAGGCATAAGCGAATTTTTTTTTTTGTAGGGGATATTTAACAATTATAAATTACACAGGGGTGGTATTTACAATTAACTCCTATCTTATATATACTAAACCTAAGTCTTTGTTTGGTCCATTATTATTACGTCACGTGAACCATATATATCTCTCATTATTGTATAGTTTGGGAAAAATTGTCTAAGATTATGATTATTATTTTTCCGAACAGTAATATTATTAATATTATTGTCTAAGACAGTTAAATTACTGTTTGAGACAGTAATTTAACATCCAAGGCAGTAATATTAATTAAAATAATTTTTTTTAAGGAAAAAAATTAAAAGAAAAAAAAAAGTCAATTAACAGTTAAATTACTGTCTCCGACAGTTAAATAACTGCCGGAGACAGTAATTTAGCAACGAATACAGTAATATTAATTAAAAATATTTTTTTAAGAATAAAAAAGTCAATTAACAGTTAAATTACTGTCTCCGACAATTAAATAACTGCTGGAGACAGTAATTTAGCAACGAATACAATAATATTAATTAAAATATTTTTGAAGAAAAAAAAAACTCAATTAACAGTTAAATTACTGTCTCCGACAGTTAAATAACTGTCGGAGACAGTTTTAGCAGCCAAGACAGTAATATTAATTAAAATATTTTTTTTAAGAAAAAACAAAATTATAAAAAAAAAAAAAAAAAAAAAAGTCAACGCCGGAGACCCGGCGGTCAACGGCAGTTGACCGGCCAGAAAAAAAGTTCAGGAAAAAAAAATTTCAAAAAAAAAAAGAAAAGAAAAAAAAGTCAACGGCGGCGACCGGCGGTCTCCGGTGGTGGCGGGTCAAAATTGGGGTCAAAATTGAAATTAGGGTTAAAATTGGTTAATTGATGAAATTGAGCTAAATTGGGGTGTAAATCATGAAATTGTAGTTTAATTGGGTTTCAATGAATTGGGGGTAATTTTGGTATATATAAAATGATTTTCCTTATTTGCAAATAAGTTTGAATGGGATGGATTTATTTAAAAGACAAAAAAGTTGGATGTCCCTCTTTTAATTAAGTGCCCTTGTCATGGGCCTATTTGCCATTACCCAAAAAAGAAATCCACATGCATATAATTCAAAAAAAAAAAAGTCCACGCCGGAAACCGGCAAAAAAATCCGAAAGAAAAAAAAAAAATTTACCTATATACTAAACCTAATTCTTTGTTTGGTCCATTATTATTACATCACGTGAACCATATATATCTCTCATTATTGTATAGTTTAGGAAAAATTACCTTATAAGTAGGGCTGGCAATCGGGCCATGTGAGCCGAGCCTGGGTCGGCTCAAGCTCATATACCATCGGGCCTCATTATTATAGGCTCAAGCTCAAATACCATCGGGCCTCATGTCTATAGGCTCAAACTCGGCTCACGCATTTTTTCGGGCTTCGGGTTTATATCGGGCTTATATCGAGCAATAAACAAATTACATATTTTACAACTTTGAAGTCGACATATTAAAGAAAAACAAAAAAAAAACTTCGCAGTCTAAGCGAAAAATCTAGTCTATTCATTGAAAATCAAAATAAGCTTAAAAAATAAATAAATAAATAAATAATCATAGTCTGTTCATTAAAACAAATAAAGCTTAATATTGCAAATGAAAAAAAAATCATAAAATAAAATAACTAGAAGCAATTCTAAATGTCCTTAATTAACTCTTTTCGAAAATCTTGAGACCTAAAATAAAAAAAGGACAACATATATATATATATATATATATATATATATATATATATATATATATATATATATATATATATATATATATATATATATATATATATATATATATATATATATATATATATATATATATATATATATATATATATATATATATATATATATATATATATATATATATATATATAGTCGAGCTTTATTCGGGTCGAGCCATGGTAAGCTCAGACTCGGCTCATAGTTTAATCGGGTTTAATAAAACGGCTCAAACTCGGCCCGGCTCACAATTAATGAGGCTCGGCTCAAATAAAATCGGGCCGAGCTATCGGGCTTCGGGTAGGCCCGGCTCAATTGCCGGTCCTACTTATAAGCAATATCCCCTGTTAAACAAAGTTTTCAAAAGGAAAAAAAATAAAAAATAAAAGAATCCACATGCATATTGCTCAAAGTTTTACCGTGTTTAACAAATACATCATACCAAAATTACGTAAATTACCACGTTGCCAAATTGGCTACATACCTTCTCTCTTTATAACTCTAGCAGTCCGATCCTCATACAACAAGGTTTATTAACCTAGCTAGTATATATATATATATATACATACCTCATTGAGATTCTTATTTTCCAATCAATCTATCTTCTCGTCCAAAAAGTACGTACCAATAATAAAGAATTCTTGCACGACCAATACCATGGGTGATATTAATCAAGATTACCACCAACGAACCCTCTATTGTGATCTTACCCACGTCGAATTCACCACTCCAGAAGAAACTGACGATCACAATATTCAACCGGAAATCATCTTGAACTTCTCTTGGAAAGTTGATTTTTCCCAGTGGATGATTCCACATGCAGTTGAAGAATATTTTACATACACACAATTGGTTACACGATCCAATGCATCCGCAACCAATTTCTCCTTTGGAGTGAGCCGCATGCAGTTTCAGTGTCTCGATGAATTACGGGGAATCATGGAATTCGAGCTAAGAGGCATTTTAGACACTTGCGATCTGCGCAGAAAAGTGGCCGATCGTGTTTGGGTGACAGCACTGCCAAGCGTCGACAACAGTATTCCCACAGAGGGCAGAGTTTTGAATCTTTACTTCGATGCGTTGGTAGATAACCAACATATTGTATTTGGAGAAATTTATGATGACGAGGAATATAATTGTATGGTTCCCGCGGCGGATTCATTGATAATGTCGTCGTTGAAGAGGGTGGCCGTTGATTCTGATCAGAAGACTAGTTGCTCGATTTGTTTGGAAGATCTCTCGCCGGGCGGCGACAATGATTTTGAAGAAGCGTTAAGCATGCCGTGTTCGCATGTTTATCACGGGGACTGCATCAAGAAGTGGCTGAGCACTAGTCATTATTGCCCACTCTGCCGTTTTGAGATGCCAACCACCAATTAGATAGATGGATGCAAATTTGAAATTGTTTCACTTTGAGTTTTTTAGGCTTCATAAATATTGTATTTTTTCAAGGTAATCTACGAGTTAATTTGATAAATTCTTTTGTTTAATTAAATGTTATTTATGCAAGTTCAATAAAATTGGGTCTTTTATGAATCAGGACTTTTAAGTACCTGCACAAAAAATCTATGCACACAGACCGATTAATCTAGAGAGGTCTCAAACTGATTAACATGCCATCCAATCTAAGTTTGAGTATTGGTTTTGATTTTATTTCATAAATAATTTATTAGTAGTACGAAATATGGAACTGCGTATGCAAAGAATTTTCATTAACATTATTGCCTCGTCTGGTTACATGGATATGACTAATTTGAATTAGATTGAAATTGTGTTAATTATTTATTTAACTAACTAATGAATTAGTTAGTACTAAAATTGTGAAAATCTCGCCACTTTTTTTTTTTTTTTTGGTTTCGTATTTATAAAGCCCCTTTTGATGGGTCAGCTATATCCTCCCCGCGCCCTGTAATAGCATTCAGGTGGTTTATACTTCGCTCAGTTAGAAAAGTTGTGATATATATCATATAGGCTCGTCTCGAGATATTGGCCATCGCAACGAGCAATCTTTGGAAATGTGTTCTAGGATTTTATCTTGAGGCATAATTAACTCAGCATATGAATTTTATCTGGGACCTTCTCGCCATATTCATTCGCTGGAATGAGGTATCGATCGAGCGGGAGGTGTTGATACCACACGCACTTCTCCTCTCGGGCTTTCCTCCTTTTTCATTCTCTAGCAGTCCTCCAAATTGATGTATTTCTCAGCTCGCTGTAGTAACTCGTCGAAGTTGGACGCAACCTCGCTTTACTAGGGATTTGAAGAATTCTCCCTCCCTGAGTCCTTGGACAAATGCTCCTACCAAAATCTCCGATTGAGTTGTTGGGATATCCACCATCGTCTTGCGAAATCGTCTCATGTAACTTCATAAGGCTTCTCCTTCTTGTTGCCTCAAACTGAAAAAGGGCAAGTTGTTTATGCGAGCTGTAGCAGTTCACAAGAATTGAGCTATAGTTGTCTTCATCTTCGTCTGCGAACCAGACAGAGTTCTCCTTCTTGTAATGCTTAGTCGCCTTTTAAATCGCCAAAGTTTGCGCCTCGTCTTGCCGTTCTTGTTCCACCCGACGCAGTATTTCTTGTTGTTCAGTGATCTGCGCTGCGAGGTGTTTTCCTTCCATCTGCGAATACAGACCTTTGGTCTGGATCTCATGGGGTATCCACCCATCTCCTCTCTGTTTTGTTATTACTCCGGGCTTTCGATAGTTCCTTCTCAACTTGTTTGGCCTCCTCTGTTTTCTTGGCCAATTTCTTTTCTTCGTCTTTCAGTTCCAACTTCCGGTCAGCTAACATCCGTCAAATCAACTAAATCAAGTTAACTTAATGAGGTTTATAACTAACTAAAGCCCGTTGCTCATTGATCAGATCGAACTCTGATGTGACCGGTCGGCCATAAAAGGATTTCCTAAGATAAGGGTTTTCACTTTTCATTGATGTATATGTGAGTATATATACATGAGGATTTAAGGAATAAAATATACAGTACAAGGCGTGATCTAAGGTAATTGTGTATTTAAGGAAAAAACTAATTAAGAAGGATGATATGCATAATTAGGAACGTGATATATTCTCCATATGCCCCCGCAAGATGGCGATTCGGTCAGAAACGCCAATCTTGGAACGAAGTCCTTCAAAGGCTGGTGCATGAAGTGGCTTTGTCAGCAAGTCTGCCAACTATCTTTGGATGAGACATGAGACACCCGCAGCTTCCCAGCTTGAACAAGTTTTCGAACAAAGTGAAATGCCACCTCAATATGCTTCATGAGCGAGTGAAAAACTGGATCGGCGCAAATATTTTATTAGTAGTACGTAGATATGGAAATGTGTATGCAAAGAATTTTCATTAACATTATTGCCATCGTCCCGTTACAACTTACATGATATGACAAATTTGAATTAGATTGAAATTGTATTAATTATTTATTTAACTAACTAATTCATTAGTTAATACTAAAATTGTGAAAATCTGGCCATTTTTTTTCATCGTATTTATTGTTTTTTGCTCATACTTACGAATAAATCAGCGCGTCATTGTGCGAAGTGTCGATTGCGCTGTAATCCTCAGATCCGAATTCTATGGTAGGCATAGGTCCCCTATTCGTGGCTATGTGGTTCACATCCTTCCGTTCTGCACCTTCCGAAGTATGAATTAAGTATACTTACTGGGCTGAGAATAATTTTGTTATAAATTTGAGTTTGTCATTGTTTATAATACAAATTGAAGGGATGGACTTATTGGTGAAGTGACCGAGAGTAAACAATATAAATTAATAAAAGTTGAACCTATGTTAATATGGGGTTTTTGTGTTTAAGTCCCTAACCAAATATTTTTATTATTCTAGGTTTAGGGGTTATATGTCTTTCACCAATAAACTCATCTTTTTAATATTTATTATAAATAAAGGAAAAAATCATGTATATGACAAAATTACTCCCAACCCTTACACACAATTCTTAATTGTAACTCCATTTAAATCAATTTTGACCACAAAAATCCAATTTTAACTTCTTCTTTTTTTCAAAAAATATTTTTTTGCTAACGGATTTCGGCGTTGACTTTTCGATTTCTTATTTTTTTTTTGCTAACGGATTCCGGCGTTGACTTTTTTATTTTTTTTATTTTTACGCCAGCCGCTAAACATTGACTGTAATTGTGCTGTCATTACTGGTAATTATACTGTCACTGACAGTCAATTAACGTAATTATACTGTCACTGACAGTACATTACGTAATTGTACTGTCGTTGACAATACATTTATGTAATTATACTGCCGTTGACAGTACAATTAGAGTCAATGACAATAGATTTATGTGGAGAGCTTCAGAGGCAACATATTACATATTAGAGTAGTATTCAATTTCTAGTACACTATGAATAATAATGGAGAAATGTTGGGGCATTTTAGTATTCAAAAATACATTGAGAGAGTTAGAAATCCTCTTCCTAATATCACTTGGTCCTTCTATATATAGAACTCATCCATTCCTTTCAAGGTTAAATGGTTAATGCATTCATGCGGAGTTTATTTCATAATGCCCTCCTAGTGGATACTAATATTCACTGGAAATCAACTAACATGGTTTCTAAATGCCGGTGTTGGCAAAATCCTAAGCATGAAACTCTTAAGCATCTAGTTTTACAATCGGATATTGCCAACTCGGTTTGGGCATATTTTCTCATCCGTTTTTGAGAAGCCAAGTGGATGAATGAAACAAGTACAAGGTCTCAATTTGCGGTTTGTATTCTAAGCGCTATCAGCTATATTATGTGGGAGCTATGGAAAAGTAGATGCAAGGCAGTTTTTTGAAGATGATCATATATATGAGTGATGCTAATACTATAATTCACATAGTTACTCAGAATGTTCATACAATCAGTAGCCTCTACGTTCCCAAACGCGTACTCCGACTACATGGGCGTCTACGTTCCCAAACGCGTACTCCGACTACATGGGAGAGAGTAGCGCGCGTTAGATAAGATTCACATTGCATGCAGTAGGACTAAAGTTAAGCATGGAAGATGGATAGGTTGGCAATTTGTGTTATAGGCTTGACGTTAGGATTGTTTTTTTTCTTATTTGCATTTTTAACCCACTTTTGGGTAGAGCTTAGGTTTCGTTCTTATAATTTGCATCTTTAACCCACTTTAAGGGTTATTTTGTAATAACTTGTCATAGGGTTTTTTATTTTGAGTTTTTTTATTCCAGACATTTTAGTGGTAATTTTTTCCTTGTGTAGACTCACAAGGTTTTTAAGGTGACCCCTTTGTACTTTCAAAACTATATAATGGAATAAAAATTGGCCAAAAAAAAAATCACATCTCTCTTTCATTTGAACCTAAATCAACCGGCACTGGAAAGATAACTCGAAATGCTACAACTTTCATGTTTTATGATTTGTTTAAATTCGGACAAAAGCATGGTCAACACCAAATTTGAATTCAAAAACTGTCCGATACCGCGATGATGGAAAATAGATACCGCGGCGATGGAACGAGACTCATTCAAGTAGCTACAGCATGCGATCATTGTGGTGATGGAAACGGTGGTAATGGATCATGCTGGTCCAAAAACATGGAATTTAAGTACAATTTGGTTTCTCTTCCTTCCTTGTCAAGAAGAATCTTTAAAAGAAGTTTCCGTTAACCAAAACGCACGTTATTGCATTAATGTAACAAGGAGAAGGCGCGCGCATCAAGACAGGAGATATGGCAAGTGATAGTGCAGGAATGTAGATGTTGACCTTATGTATCCATTATCCGAATGTACATGTATGTGCTTTATATTGTTATCATAATCGAGTTGAATGTATTAGGCATACCAAGGGGTTTGATTAGGGATGGCAACGGGTCAGTTCTGGATCGGGTTTGCCTAAACCTAAGAACCCGACTCACGAAAAATATATAAACCCAAGATCCGCCCCAACCCGTTTTAGCTTAGACCCAGACCCGCTAGACCCATTAACATACAAAAAGTTTAACTCAATAATCTCAATACTAAATACAATATTTAAAAAAATATCTCAATAACATTTTAACTTTCATAACATTTTGCTTGTATATTTGTACGAAATAATCTCAATACTAAATACAATATTTAAAAAAATATCTACAAGTGATATAACGTGAACAATAAAATTACAATAAATTATATTTAACTTCGATACTAAGTAAAATTCAAAATGCAAGACAATTAGCGGTGGTCGACAAGTGATAAATATTACTCACGAAAATGAGATTCGACAAATAAAAGAGTGAAAATAGGTAAATGAGAATAGATAAGATGTAAATTGATAGTTTGATAAATGAAATCCAATATATATATATATATATATATATATATATATATATATATATATATATATATATATATATATATATAT